AGCCTGGGTAACAAGAGCAAAACTCCATCTCAAAAAAAAAAAAAAAAAAAACCTATGCTAATAACACAAACTTGATCAAATCTTAATTTCTGATACTGCAATTTCAAAACCGTGGCTTTTTTTTAAAAGATGGGGTCTCACTGTGTCCCCTACTCTGGAGTGCAATGGCATAATCACAGCTCATTTCAGCCTCAAACTCCTGGGCTCTAGCAATCCTCCCACTTTAGCCTCCTGAGTAGGTGGGACCACAGGTACAGGCCACTGCGCCTAGCTAATTTCAGGTCTGTTCTTTTTCCTCAAGAATGCTTTGGGCCGGGCACGGTGGCTCAAGCCTGTAATTCCAGCACTTTGGGAGGCTGAGGCGGGTGGATCACAAGGTCAAGAGATCGAGACCATCCTGGTCAACATGGTGAAACCCCGTCTCTACTAAAAATACAAAAAATAAGCTGGGCATGGTGGTGCGTGCCTGTAGTCCCAGCTACTCAGGAGCTGAGGCAGGAGAATTGCCTGAACCCAGGAGGCGGAGGTTGCGGTGAGCCGAGATCGTGCCATTGCACTCCAGCCTAGGTAACAAGAGCAAAACTACATCTCAAAAAAAAAAAAAAAAGAATGCTTTGGCAATCCAGGGTCTTTTGCATTCCATATGAATTTTGAGATTGTTTCTTCTATTTCTGTGAAATAAAGGTCAATAAACAAGTTAAACGACTATCAGGTTCACAGCAACAGGAAGAATACCAAAAAAAAAAGAGGCACCATTTCAGTGCCAGACGAGCAAAAGTGTTAAGTTGAACTAACATTAAGTGCAGGACAAAAATGGGGAAACAAGCACCCTCACTCACTGCTGAGGGAAGTATAAACTGGGTCTACCCTTTGGAGAGCGATTTGGAAATATTTAGCCATGCTGAAATCATAACGTACCTTCTGACCCACCCAACAACTTAACTTCTAAGTACTTATCCAACATGTAAACTCTCACATGTACACAACAGACATTCAAATACATTTGTTGACTGTAACATTAAGATGGTCAAAAACTGAAAATGCTGTTAGAAATTTTCCTATCAGTAGGGGAGTAAGTAAATTGTGATATATTAATACAATGAAATACCAAACAACATTTAAAATGAATGAACCAGAGTTACAACCTTGAAGCAAATATAGCAAAATGTTATATCTATTAAAGGTTAGTAGAGTCTACAACAGGTGTTATCTTCTGTGCTTCCAGTGCTTCAAATATTTCAGGCTGAGCACAGTGTTTCATGCCTGTAATCCCAGCACTTTGGGAGGCTGAGGCGGGCAGATCACCTGAGGTCAGGAGTTCGAGACCAACCTGGCCGACATGGTGAAACCCCATCTCTACTAAAAATACAAAAACATTAGCCAGGTGTAGTGGTGTGCACCTGTAATCCCAGCTACTCTGGAGGCTGAGGCAGGAGAACTGCTTGAACCCAGGAGGCAGAGACTGCAGCGAGCTAAGATCACACCACTGCACTCCAGCCTGAAGTGAGACTTGTCTCCAAAAAAAATTTTTCAAAAATTTAAAAAAGTAGCTAAATATAAAAATGTTGGGGAAAAGACAATACTTCTCCCCCTTTTTTTTTTATTTTTGAGATGGAGTTTTGCTCTTGTCCTGCAGGCTGGAGTGCAATGGCACAATCTCAGCTGTCACCTCTGCCTCCCAGGTTCAAGTGATTCTCCTGCCTCAGCCTCCCAAGTAGCTGGGGTTACCGGCATGTGCCACCACACCTGGCTAATTTTGTATTTTTAGTAGATACAAGGTTTCACCATGTTATCCAGGCTGGTCTCAAACTCCTGACCTCAGGTGAGCCACCTGCCTCAGCCTCCCAAAAGTTCTGGGATTACAAGCATGAGCCACTGCACCCTTTATAATGTCAGCTTCTGTGATACACATCACTGTACTCGTAGAACAGCAATTTCACCACTGAATTTACCAGTGTAGAATTGTCATACCCAGATGTCTTGTGAAATAAGTTTTTCTTACTGTTTAAGACACATTTAATTAGGTTTTCTGCTCCTTGCAGCTTATTGCATATTGATACAATGCTCTTTATCAAAACAAAACACTCAACTCTGAAGAATGTACAAATTCCAGTGGGTTCTTGATGACTATAAAGACCCTGTTATTCTCATACAGGGTGGAGGCAGGAATTTCGCAAACTACACAAATAGCTGTAGTTTTACCAGAACCATCCTAGTTTTGCTTCACACTTTCCCAATCATTGAACAGTTTCTAAGAGAATGTGCCTATTTTGTTTTCAGCATTGCTAGCCACATCTAGAAATGTGACAGAGAGTCTGAGTTGCTTTTTTGGAAGTATTTAAAGGCATGTGTCAGTCTTCCTATGTGGTTCCCTGAAAATGTTGTTTAAATATGTATTCTAACTTTCCAATAAGAGGGACAGCTCATGGTTAGGAAATGGCTTTGTTTCTTTTCTATCCTAGATAGATCCAAAATCTAGTATTCTACATAGGCACTCAGCAAGCTGTAGAGCCAACTCCCACAACTACAGAGACAGCTTTTCATTCAAACAGCACACATCCGTAATAAACAATTACAGAAATAACATTTTAATTAAATTGATTTATTTAAAAAGACTATAAAATTTGACATCAAGAGAGATTAAAAAATGACTGGCTACAAACAATGTAAAAATACATTTCCCAGCCCCCAAACAAACATAATTTAAGTAATTATAAAATTTTTGTACTGCAAGTGCATTTCTCTTATAAGTCTTCAGAACCATTCTAAGCAATCTATCTGTATAAAATATAAAATTAAATTTACTGTAACTGTTAATTTAAAAATGATTTTCAATTTGGTTTTATGGAGTTTGTCATTTTCTGTACATAATAGTGGTTTCTGGTCCCAAGTTCACCTTCAACTTATTTACTGCAATGGTCTTTTTACTCCCTTTTCCTTCTACAAGGGTCCCATGAAAAAACAACATGAAGGAAGGTTCTAAGAGTGACCAAAAATACCAGTGAACATATTATCTTTCTGAAAAAGAAAGAACTAAGTGACCAACTAAGAGAGCCACTTTGCACCAATTAAACAAATGGGGGTGAAACCTCAGAACAAGCAGAGCTTAAGCTCAATGGCAACATGTTTTATAATAGGCCAGCTGAGAATGTATCTGTCAATCTTGAATGAGCCCAATGCGTGGTGGCACCACTGAGGTAGTCCAGATGATATGCTCTGAATTTTAGATAGGTCTAAAGGGCATTAAAAGCCACAATGGTACAATCTGATGTGAAACTCTAGTCTACCTACCACAAACTAGTTTTCTGAATTGGTCCTTATTCTTAGACCCAAGATCCAGCAATTTCTCCTCTCTTAAAAACACCATCCAGGATTGGTTTCATTATCTCCCAATTAAGCAGTGGTGACATGACTAATTAGCATCCAAACTCAAGATACAAATCCTAAAGGTATTGAGTCAGTAAGACAGAGCAGAAGCTATGTTGGGCCATACTGACCAATTTCTGAGAACCACATTAGCCACATTCATGCAGCTAAAACCTATTTATGACACACAAATAGCAGATGACAACAACAACAAAAAAAAGAATGAGGTCATTAAACTTTATCACTAGAAACATGATTCCACTGTTTCAAATAGGAAACCTACTCTGGGAGACATCCACCAAAGTGCGGAAGGACCTGATATATGGGCTTTTATCATCTTAACACTAGAGTCTTGGGTCAAAACTCCACGAGGAGGATAAGAAAGGTCTAGTCTGTGAACCAGCTGGACAGAAAGGTCATATCCCAAGTGCCCTGCCTATCTGTGACAGCCAACAGACAATTCTGATTATAAACTTATCGCTTAAGAATGGTTTGATTCTTCCTTATGCCACCAACAGTATTAGTCTGGGCAGGATTCCCTAGATATTTACTTTCTTAAGATGTTCCCTGCCAAAAACAAACTAGAGCAATGCCTATGTAAAAACAAGGATTCTAAAGATCCTGCTACATGGTGTTCACAATTAAAAGGGCTCAAGATGCAGGACCACCTAAAGACAACTGACAACAAGTAAGCGTCAGAGCCAGAGGTCAACCTTGGCTAAATGAGGAAGCAGCAGAGGGCTCCATTTCTGTCTGATAAGGACAGAGAAAAGAGGCATCTCAAATAGATGAAAAACCAAAGGGTGGGGTCCCAGAAAAACAGACTGGCTTCAAAGAAGACACTACGGAAGACCTACAGAGCTGTATTAACCTTAGTTAAAAAAAAAAAACTGTCAAGAGGGGAACTGAACCACTTTCTAAATCATAGTAAGAACTCATCTCTCCAGATACTTGGTAAGTGGTCAAAGCATGTTTTCATAATTCTTTCTTTTTGAGATGTGAGTTTTGCTGTTGCTGCTCAGGCTGGAGTACAATGGTGCAATCCCAGTTCACCGCAACCTCCGCCTCCTGGGTTCAAGCGATTCTCCTGCCTCACCCTCCTGAGTAGCTGAGATTACAGGCATGCATCACCACACCTGGCTAATTTTGTATTTTTAGTAGAAATGAGGTTTCTCCATATTGGTCAGGATGGTCTCAAACTCCCGACCTTAGGTGATCCACCAGCCTCGACCTCCCAAGTGCTACAATTACACACATGAGCCACTGAGCCCAGCCATTTTTATAATTACTTTCACTTTCTTGGGAAAAAAGTCTTTCTTATCTTTGGTCCTTAAGTGTGGTATCAGTTTGTTCCTTTTTTTTTTTTTTTTGAAACAGAGTCTTGCTCTGTCGGCCAGGCTGGAGCGTAGTGGCACGATCTCGGCTCACTGCAACCTACATCTCCTGCGCTCAAGCAATTCTCCTGCCTCAGCCTCCTAAGTAGCTGAGATTACAGGCCTGTGCCATGAAGCCTAGCTAATTTTTTATATTTTTAGTAGAGACAGGGTTTCACCATGTTGGCCAGGCTGGTCTTGAACTCCTGACCTCTGGTAATCCCCCACCTTGGCCTCACAAAAGGCTGGGATTACAGGTGTGAGTCAGTGTGCCCAGCCTCTTCCATTTTTTTATATGTTATAAAACAATCTTTTTTTTACTTGACATCAATGACCAAGGTGCAGTATAAACATGAAGTTGCTGATATTGTTGCTTTTAAACACATAAAATACCAACATCTCTCATACACTTTATAGGCTATACAAAAGTCTCAGAAAGAATTAATAGCAGTTATCCAAAAGTATTGTAATATTTAAGGCTGAGTGAAATACAGTAAAGTCTGATATTATATGTTAAGAAACCTAGACCAACATTTTAAATATTGGTTTCTTAACTAAGTTAAATTTTCATTAACAGAACATAATCTAAGCAGCTAAGCAAATTAATTTAAAAATAAAACCATTTCTAAATAGATTATTATATTCATGTTTATACAGCTATAAAGCATAATTTGCAAGCTAAGCCTAGTAAAAGAATGACCTGTAACAGAATGACGGAATCATTTATCAACCGTTGAGCTGTGCGATTTAAAGAAACCATTGTCTTCCCCTCCTCCCACCAAAATCTCCATTTGAGATAGTTTCGATCATTATTAAAAAAATTTTTTTTTGCTTCTCTGACCTGATTTGTGGTGACTGACACAATACTGATAAAACTGCCTTCTTGACCTTCTCTTTGCTCTCCAAAAGACGTGGTTTAAACAATTACACAAATTCTACAAGAATTTCTTCCAGGGCTCAGGCACCACAATGCAGCATCACTACCCCAGAATCCTTAAGCATTAAGTGGTTCAGTGAGGGCTTCAGCCCTAGTGGTATTTTCAGGTTTTCTCAGCCGGGACTCCCGTAGTTTTTCAATGAACATAGTGATAAAGTCAAGTAGGAACATAAAACTTGCTATAAATCCAAATACCTGAGCAAGAAAATGGAGAAAGGTTATATGAGGAATTTTGGAATATAATCTCCCATTTCCTACTTGGCTTGGAGAGTCTTTCCTGTAAGCAAGATGTTCATAAATTTTATCTTAAACACAACTACTCTTTAACGGTTTTTTTTTTTAATTTAAGTCATCAATAAATGGAAAGAAGTTATAAAAGAAAAATTTCCAGAAAAATGGCTATTAGTCAAAGTCCCACAAAATACTAATGTCCTGCCTTATGAATGCATGTTTATATGTGGAGTGCTAACATAAGAAACTAAGGTTAACAGATGAACATTAAATTCTATAAAATGATACAAAACACAAGAATATTTGCATGGTTAGACTGACCCACAGATGTGATAAGGAAAGTATGTAACTAGGCAACTGAGCCTAAGTGAAAATGAAAAAAGTTATTAATATCAAAACAAAAATTCCATTTTGAAGATACTTTTAGGTTAAATTAAATAAAGTACATGTTCCAGTTGTCATACTGCAATGACACAGTGACATGACGCCACCACCCACTTCCTCTTCCTTAAATCGCTTCCTCAATTGTTCTAACATATGATCAAACATTCTGAGAATTCTATCAAGAGACAGAAGACCATGTAATTGCTTCAAATTTAGCTTCTCCACTAGCAAAACCCTTAAGGATATGAGGGCCAAATAAGTTCTCTATAAAAAAGAGAAAATTGATGTAGGTGATGGATGGCTAAAGTCTCTTCCAAATCTAACACTCCCTATCTCCAAGATTTTTATTAGTAACATTCTTACCATGTCTGTTACAGTCTCCTGACCTCTCCTCCCCACTCTAAAGAATATGCATTCCACCTCATTTTACCACAGAGTAAACGGAGCTCCAAATTCATTAATTCCCTCAGATATCTCCAACATATCCAACCTAAATTGAATTATCAACGCCTCCCACCCTCCCAGCACCTGCCGCAAAAGCCAAGTCTTTTTCTCTCTGGAATCTTTATTTTTGACTTGATGGCATTTAGCCCCCTATTTTCCTGGCAACCTTCTCAACCATCAAACTCAGACCAAATGTCACCCTTGTCCTTGAAGCTGTCTCTAACTGCCTCAGAGAGCTCCAGTCCACACAAGGCCCTCTATACTATATAATCCAGACAAGTGATCTTCTAGCTCTTTTGTTCACATATTTCTAAATTTAAAAAAAAAAAAAAAAGACTTCCTCACTCATTTAAGTCTATCAAACTTTTCATAGTTTAAATAGTTACAAAAGGTAATTTCCAACATATTATAAATATTGACTTTTTAAACTACCAATATTAAATATATCCAATGATCTAAATACTGGGACAGTCTAATGCATCATCTAATTAAAATACAAATTTCTTAATACAGTTGTAAATTTTTTCCCAGAACTCAATTTTTCATCAACTTCATTTCACTTTCCCCACAGAATGTTATTGTAATGTATCTTTATACTCATTATTTTCTTGATCACCATCTCATACTCCTCTACAACAAAAATATTTCTAAACTGCAATTAACCATAAAGCCCTATTAAAACTTTTATTTTTCTCTTCTATTGGTTCGTATACCCATGAATAAATATTGCTTGTTGCTAGAATGAACCAAGGTTCAGCATTAACTTTATTTCTATGTTCTGTTTTTACACACGTAAGTGCTAACTTTCAAGCATGAATACGTAAATATAGCCATGCAATTCTCTGAACTCCTTTTGAGTTTTCTATCATAAAAAGCAGTTTTAATGAGGTATTAGCTGACAACTCTATGAATTACAACCTCAATTTTGTTAAAAACAAAGTACTAACTGGAAACCAGCTGACCTGCAAGATTTGTTACCCAGCTGTTAGTCATTCAAGTTCACAGCACTGGTACCAGTCCAAAGTCATGATCCTTGATTTACAATTCCGAACCCAAAGAGCTACATTAACTGAAGGTTTTCATGATTCACTTGGCTCAAAATTGACACGTAGACTACTTACAGTCTTTACTTATCTCTTTTACTATAAGTATTTTATGTTTTACTTCAGATATACCAATGTTAGATTACAGGGTACTGTCCCAGGCCCTCAAATGGTGTTGTGTAATTAGGAAATGTACAGCATTACCTTTCTAAAAAATATTCTGAATTCTATAAAAAAAATTCTGGCCCCAAGAATTTCAGATAAAAATTGGATCTTTATCTTCAACTGTCTCTTTGTTGTACTCAAGGGGTTTTTTGTTTTGTTTTACAACTCAGGGTAATCCACCATAGTAATGCGTATGGTTTGCGTCTGTGTCCCCACCGAAATCTCATGTCAAATTGGAATCCCCAATGTTGGGGGTGGGGCCTGGCTGAAAGTGATAGGATCATGGGGGCAGATTTCCCCTTTGGTGCTGTTCTTGTAATAGTTATCACAAGATCTGCCTGTTTAAGTGTGTGGCACCTCCCCACTCTCTCTCTCTCTTCCTCCTGCTCTGGCCATGTAAGATGTGCCCACTTCCGCCTCCCTTCCGCCATGATGCTAAGTTCCCTGAGGCCTCCCCAGCTATGCTGCCTATAGAGCCAACAGAACCAAGAGGCAATTAAACCTCTTTTCTTTATAAGTTATCCAGTCTCAGGTATTTCTATATAGTAGTACAAGAAGGAACTAATGCAGCAAGATTCAGAACAAGCAATTTTTCTTCTGACGGGGCAAGGTGGGTGGCGACTACAAATGGGAAGGCAGAAAAGAGCTAGCAAGACTCCTTCACCAGAGATGAATTCTCAGACATACTAGTTTTAAGAAAGATTACATATGGAGGTTAAAAAGCTGGAAATAGATTTCCTTAAAAACTATCTCTGCTCTATATGAACGTCTTCAGTGACTTAAAAAAAAAAAAAAAAACTATCTCTGCCTAGTAGTCCTTGAAAAGTCCTGATGAACCTTTAAGGATATGTATAACCCAGTGAAAACTGGTATTTAGACCAACTTTTTTCTTCTTCTTCTTGTAAAGATGAGGTCTCATTATGCTGCTTGCCCAGGCTGGTCTTGAACGCCTGGCTTCAAATGATTCTCTCACCTTCGCTTCCCAAAGTGCTGGGATTACCAGCCTGAGCCACAGCACCCAGTCTTAAACAACTTCTTGGTTCACTTAACAAACTCCATTAAAATTTTACTTCTCTATCTCTTTTTCTGGGCTGAACCTCTGAATCATTTCTCCCATATATTCTCCATACCTAGAATAGTACCTGGTACATAAGTGTGCATTTGTTGAATGAAAGTGGAGAATTATAAGATAATAAAGTCAATTTTACTACTTCCATTAGCAATAACACATTCTTATGTGGAATAAATGGATTTTTTTTTAAACAAAATTCAGTCAAATCCTATAGGCTCTAGGTTTTTTTTTTTTTTTTTTTTTTTTTTTTGAGACGGAGTCTCACTCTTGTTACCCAGGCTGGAGTGCAATGGCACGATCTCGGCTCACCGCAACCTCCGCCTCCTGGGTTCAGGCAATTCTCCTGCCTCAGCCTCCTGAATAGCTGGGATTACAGGCACGCGCCACCATGCCCAGCTAATGTTTTGTATTTTTAGTAGAGACGGGGTTTCACCTTGTTGACCAGGATGGTCTCGATCTCTTGACCTCGTGATCCACCCGCCTTGGCCTCCCAAAGTGCTGGGATTACAGGCTTGAGCCACCGCGCCCGGCCACAGGCTCTAGGTTTTAAAGGCTATCATACTGATTTCCTTTTAGATCTTCTATTCAAAATTACACTAAAAAATAAGTTAAAAGAAAAACAACTCTAACATACTGTATAACTTGTCAAGTACTCTCCAAATTCTGTATTTATAAGGAAACAAAAAATAAGCAATGTTAAAAATACAAGGTACTTACAATTGCAGCAATTTCAGCTGAAGTCCTGTCATGGGTGGAAACAAAAATGATGGACGCCAACAAAAACACAAATCCTGTTCCCAAAGCAATATAAAAATCCTACGCATAGACGTAAAACACAAAAGGAATACAATATAGTTAGATTCGTGGAAACGAACTTTTTCATTTTTAACTTTAAAAAGCTCTGGTTACTTACTTTTTTTCCTTGATACAACCCAAACTTACATACCCAAACTCCTAACTTCTCAATAAGCCTGGCATTCAATAAATACCCTGTAAAAAAACAGTACCCACACTGGGCTGGGCATATTGAGAGAGCATATAACAAGATAATCTTTTAGTAACAACAGTCTCCTGTGGCAGAAGAGGTGGCATAAGCCTGCAGTCCCAGCTAATTGGGACCTTTTTTATTATCCAGTCTCAAAAAAAATAACAGTCCCTGAAAAGACCTCATGTGTGTGTATGTGTACAAGTGTGTGTGTGTGTCCTCTTTTTCTCTGGGACATATTAAAATTATCCAAGCCAAAGCATTTATTACAGTTCCATCTTATTTCCAGCAAAAAAGCATTTTTCTTTCCTTTCAAAGTATTTTATGGTAGGAAGACATTTCTGAGAGTTCTCCAATGCTCTGAAAGCACTTTTGAAAAGAGAGAATTTTAAAAACCACCCATTATCAAATAGAAGTATGCCAACAGTATGTTTTTTTAGACACTTAAGCTTTCTGGAATAACATATTGCCATCAACTGTTCCAAGAGGGTAATCCATAGTGAGCTTATATGATGAGTTTATCTACTGATTGGCACCACTGCACTCCAGCCTGAGCAACAGGGTGACACGGTCTCAAAAAAAAAAAAAAAAAAAAAAAAAAAAAAAAAAAATCCTTATATTAGGTAAAAAGTACAATATATGTTCTGTGATTACAAATATTTTAAATTTTAAAAATCATCTACGAATGGAAACAAAAGACTTGAAAGGAATGCAGCAAAATAATACAAAGCTATTTTTAAATGAAATAACTGATTTTTCTTTTTTTTCTGTATTTTTAAACCAGTATTTACTCTAAAATGACTTTTTAAATGCTCAAGTTTGATATAATAAATGTTTTACTTTTTTTAGGTTACACCATTATACTAAACTGGTAATTATTATAACGGTGTTTCTTCTCAAAATGATACTAAACTGGACAATATTATACACTGTTTCTTGTCAAAATGATCACTGTGCTTTAAACACTACAGAAGCAGCATTAAAATAAAAACTAAACATTTCTAAAAATATTTTTAGGGTTAGTGATATCGTTTCACTACTGAGATAAGAAATGACAAAATGATTTCAATCTTTAATTTTTAAAATATAAATGTTTTCACCCAGAATTTGGAATGGTGTGTGTGTGTGTGTGTGTGTGTGTGTGTGTGTGTGTGTATATTTTTCTTTTTTTTTTTTACACATTCAAACCATGAATCAACCAGCTCAGGTACTTGAGAACTTTTCCCTTGTCCAAATGTTATGACATATTCATCTATAAAAAGGAAAACTTTTCAAAGACTACAAATATAATTAACAAAATTCTAAGGATTATCTGTATCCTCTTAATATCCTACCATGCTAAGCTCCTCCCCTCAAGCTCCTCCCACCAGGCCTGGCTCCTCCTGAGTTCCTTCTTCCTAGGCTTTTTAAGTCTAATGTGAATTACATTAAACCACCAATAACTATAAGCTATTGACAGTGTTTGTCACTCTCATTCTAATCTCACTTTCCCTCTCTATCATCCCTTTGGTAGGAAAAAGAGGTACTTAGAAGCAGAGCAAGTTGGAACAAGGGATACTATCTTTTCATGTTGCTGAGTTTGAAAACATTACTGCTTTGAACAATAAAACTACGCCAGATTACAAAATAGGTATGCTCTTAATATAGGAATGATATTTTCCCATGCTTACCGATGCTTTTACTTTTGTGGTATCAACCATATCATAAACGGGAGTGCAATAAACAATCAGTATAAGCAGACTCAGAAGAAAGGCACTGCAGCTTACAAACTCAAAAAAATAAAGTCCTCCACACAAAGTACATTGTGATACAACTTCTTCACAGATGAAGGCCAGCAGAGACAGCAACTACAAATGAAGAAAAACATTTCACTTAAGTGTTTTTCAGAGAACCTACAGTATTTAGAAAGCTGTTTCTGAATAACATCTGTTCACTCAAATATTTACAACGTGGAGACTATGGCAAACAAGATTAGTCAATAAACCCCATTTACACAGAACTTACAGTTTGGCTGCCTTGAAGGAAATACTGGTACATAAATAATTAACCCATCGTGTACTAATGCCAGAACAGGGGAAATATATATTGTTATAAAAGCACATAGGAGAGATGCTCAACTTCAGGATCAGGAAAGGCTTCCTGAAGGAGAAAGCTGAAGACCTGAAGAACAGAGTCACTTTCGGGGATTGAAGATTAAAGAAAGAAATTCCCAGCAGAGAAGCAGTACATAGAAAGGCCCAGAAATGAGAGAGCATGGCACCTGCCCCCATGACCCAACATACAGACACATGCCCCGACCTCCAACTGAACTGTCAAAGTGAGTCAAATCAACATGGCTCAAGTATAGTTTAAGGGAAGAGAATGGCAGCATACAAATTATTATATGAGACTAGAGAGGCAAGCTGAGGCCAGATCAAAATGTGCTCATAAATTAAAGAGTCTGGATCTTAAGGGTTTTAAAGTAAAGGTTGATAATGATCAGGTTTATGCTTTCAATAGTTCTTACTGGCTACAATATGGAGAAAGGACCAGAGATAAGGCAAACCTTTTGGGGCAGACATCCAACTGGGAAGCTGATATAGGAAATCAGGGCAAATGATAGCAATTAGCAGCAATGGAGAAGAGTGGCAATCACTGGGAGAGGCAGCAGAAGCTCTTAACAGACAGGATGCAAAAGCTCGTATCAGACAAGATGCCTATAAATAATGTGGAACATGAGAAACACATGTACCTTAAACACTTTAACTTAAAAAGACACATTTATGACCAGCCTGGCCAACATGGCGAAACCCTGTCTCTACTAAAAATACAAAAATTAGCTAGGCATGGTGGCAGGTGCCTATAATCCCAGCTACGCAGGAGGCTGAGGCAGAATTGCTTGAACCTGGGAGGTGGAGGTTGCAGTGAGTCAAGTTGTACCACTGCACTCCAGTCTGGGTGACAGAGTAAGACTCTGCCTCCAAAAAAAAAAAAAAAAAAGGCATATTTATTCTTCATCTTTTGAAGTGAGTCTTTTCTTTACAGGCCTACTGACTGGAATTTCACATTTTCTGCACTAATCACTTTCTCATCTATGGACTACCACTTCCAGACTGATGTTATTTGAAGTGAAGTGAGATCTTAAACACCTGAGAAACAGAGTTCAGAATCTTTCTAGAGTCAAACTAGTTTTACCAGCCTTTTTCAATTGCCTCGCTCTTCCTTAATTCCATGGCAGATAAATATTTTAGTAACTTATATTTCAGTCTTTCCAAAGCATTCAGTTTAGTTTAAAAAAAATTCCTTTTCACACTCAGTTTCAGCTTTGTAACATTTAACAGTTTGGCCATAAAAATATAGTTAGCCTAAAGCAGTATGAGAACACCACAACTCGACTGATGACAGAAGCAAGAGTTCTGGAGTGCTAATGAGATGGCTACTGGCCATGGCAGGCTGTGGGTGACTGGTATGTGGTCAGGATGCTTGGTATGGTCAGTGAAGAATGTTAACTCTAGTTAACTTGGCAACCCAATTACATGCAAGTGGTTTTTAACTACTTCCAACTGCTGTATATGTGATTGGTCCTCACTGAAGAAAGAGTCAGGATTTTTTCTTTTTAAAAGGCAAAGGTGCTGGGGAAAAGAATAAATTGAGTTTTAAATATGCTGTGATTGAGGGGTCTGTGAAAGTTAGGTGGAGATGTGGTTGGAAAGCAAATGAACATATGGGTCTGGAGTTGAAAGGAGAGGTCTGAGCTGCAGAGGAAGACGTGGGACGGTGAGATGACCCAAATGAAGAAAGATAGCCTTATGTGGAAATCTGAGGAACTGAACATTTAAGGGATATGCAGAGGGGAAGAAACCAGCAAAGGACAACTAAGAGCAGCAATCAAAATGGTAGTAAACAAGAAAAAAGTATTTACACACTTACACACACGTAATCAAGAATGCTCAGTGCTACTTAGAGGTCAAATAAGAACAACACTGAAACACCTGCCTTAGACTGAGCTATATCAGAAGGTTGTCAGTGACACTAGCAAGACAAGTTCCAAGGTAGTCAGGTAGAGAAGCTCAATTACAATACTGTATATTGGGAAGTAAGGGGAGGGTAAGGCAAAGAAATAAGAGACAGCATAGTCAACAAGTGTGGCTGGGAAAGAATGGCCAGACAGGGCAGTAGTGGATGAGGTCAAAGAGAAGGTAATTTCAACATGGGAGAGAACTGAGCATGTTTAAATGCTTAGGCAGAAACCAGTAGGATGGGTGGGTCTAAAGACAGAGGTAGAAAAATGGCTCTCTAAAGACAGGATTCAGGGCTCAGGTTTGGGGCTAACTCTTCTCTAGAAACAGAAGGAAAGACAGAAAAGAAGAGTGCTCTGCTTGGGCAGTTTGTGTGGGTTTTGAGGAAGCTGAGGGAGTTTCCTTCTGAGGGCCAAAACCATCAAAATGACTGATGACCCAAGTCAGAGGCTAAAGGGAATTACCTTCTCACCCCAGTCAGGCCAGTAGAAGCAACCAGACAGGTTAATGGCAACAGGATTGCTACCAAAATCAACAGATGCATTTCATAGCAACAGTAAACATCTTATCCTACAAAACATTTTCATTCAAAAGAGTCAATGGTACAGCCACCAAAAACAGTTCAGCAGTTTCTTTCAAAACTAAGCATGTATCTTACAACCCAGTAATAATAATACAACCCAGTAATAAAAATATCTTATGACCCAGTAATAATAATACGACCCAGTAATAGTAATATCTTATGACCCAGTAATAATAATACAACCCAGCAGTTTCTTTCAAAACTAAGCATGTACCATACGACCCAGTAACAGAACTTTTGGGCATCTATCTCAAAGAAATGAAAACTTTATGTTCGTACAAAAACTGGTACATGTTTATTACAATTTTATTCATCATAGCCCCAAACTAGAAACATCCCAGATGCAATGGTTAAAACAAACTGTGGTAAGGGCACGGTGGCTCACGCCTATAATCCCAGCACTTTGGGAGGCAGAGGCGGGTGGATCACGAGGTCAAGAGATTGAGACCATCCTGGTCAACAAGGTGAAACCCCGTCTCTACTAAAAATACAAAAAAATTAGCTGGGCATGGTGGTGCGCACCTGTAGTCCCAGCTACTCGGGAGGCTGAGGCAGGAGAACTGCCTGAACCCAGGAGGGGGAGGTTGCAGTGAGCCGAGATCGTGCCATTGCACTCCAGCCTGGGTAACAAGAGTGAAACTCCGTCTCAAAAAACAAAAACAAAAAAACTGTGGTATATGCTTACTATGGAAAACAAACTGTGGTATATCCATACTATGGAATATTAGCAATAAAAAGGAGCAAACTTGATATACGTAATGTCCTAGATAAATCTCCAGAGAATCATCTAAGAAAAAAAAATCCAGTCTCAAAAGGTTACATATTGTATGATTCCATTCATAGCCCACTCTTAGAATAAAAATAACGATGTCGCAGCCAAGAGATAGGGGAAGGGTGTGGCTACAAAGGGGTAGCACAGGGAAGCCCTATGCTGACGGCACAGTTCAGTACCTTGACTGTGGTAGTGATTATAGAAAGCAATACATGTGGTAAAATTACACAGAATTACACACATATGCACACACAAATGAGTGCATGGGACCTCCCTGTACACTTTTTTTTTTTTTTGCAATTTCCTGTGAATCTATAAATAAAAAGTTAAAAATAGTTCAAATCTATACTGGTATCCAAACCTTTAAGGGATTTCCTCTCCCTCTTACTGGCTACACAAAATGTATATATCCCAACTGAAAATAATTTATATAAAAGAAAAAACATAGGTACTATCCCTCTGATTTTCTGTAAGTTAGTAAAGCATGAAATAGCCCAGCATGTCCCAAACAACCTCCTTAAGACAGATGTTAGGTAAGGCACTCCCAATCACTACACCACAGAATATAAGGTGACAACGCAAAGACAAATCCCAGAAGGCTACCATGTAAAGATACTTCCTTGGTCTCCTGCAGTCATAGTTACAGGATGAGTTTTTACATGACTATAGTCTAATAAAATACGAAATATCTAACATTTCACTTGCCCTTTTCTTGCCTCTATGTTATATCTTGTCCAAGTTTTAGAAGTTTCTCTATGAGAAATTTGCAAAATATGCCTCAGGTGTATATAAGTCAATTAACTGAGAGAAGACACCAGCCTAAAATTCTAGGGTTTGGGAATAAACCATTCATGTTACAATTAGTCTATGAGGCACACTCATGTGTGAAGGTTATATGGCAATAAAATATTACCTGTAGGATAGACATAGGCTGCTTGTCTGATCTCAGTTAAAAAAGGACAGGATCCAGCTTGTCCAGAAGCAGTCAGTGTCAAATCATTACAAGTCCTATCCCAAATGTATTAATAGGGGTCATTCTTACCGACCTTCAGCCTCAGAGCAATAGTAAGAGGCAGGTTCTGCCTGGATATCTTAAGAGAATGAAGGAGTAGGTTTGGAGATCTGGCAGGGCACAGTGGCTCACACCTGTAATCCCAGCACTTTGGGAGGCCAAGGCGGGTAGATCACTTGAGGCCAGAAGTTAAAGACCAACCTAGCCAATATGGGAAAACCCCATCTCTACTAAAAACATATAAATTAGCTGGGCATGGCAGCGCATGCCTATAATCCCAGCTACTTGGAAAGCTGAAGCGTGAGGATTCCTTGAACCCAGGAAGTGGAGGTTACAGTGAGCCAAGATTTCGCTACTGCACTCCAGCGTGGCTGACAGAGCAAGACTCTATCTCAAAAAAAAAAAAAAGTTTGGACATTTGCTAGTTTCCATCTCAAGTTAAAAGCCAAGAAACTGGCACTACAAGCTGTTGTCAATATGAA